TCTTGTAGACCAGGCTGGCCTCGAACTCACAGAGATCCACCTGCCTCTGCCTCCCGAGTGCTGGGATTAAAGGCGTGCGCCACCACCGCCTGGCCACAGCAACTCTTATAAAGAAAATCATTTAACTGAAGTGGTGGCTCACAGTTCAGAGGCTTAGTCCATCATCATGGTGGGAAGCACCGCAGCATGCAGACAGGCATGGCCATAGAAAGGAATGTTACACTATACCTGGCTCGAGCAGTTGAAACCTCAAATCCTACCCCTCAGTGATGATCTTCCTCCCACAAAGCCCCACCTACTCCAACAAGGCCACACCTCCTAATAGTGCCACTCCCTATGGCCACGCATTCAAACGCATGAGTGTATGGGGGCCATTCCTATGCAAACCACCACACTGTGTTTTCAGAGAGCAGTCACTGTGACCTGTGAGACAAATAATCCCTTTCTCCCCATGTTACTTCTGGTCTTAGTGATTCTCACCGTAACTGAAAATTAACTAGAGCATTCAGTTAGCCCAAGCAAATCTCAGATCCAAGTCCAAAATCAAGGGATGGAGAAATTCCCCCCCCCCCCCCCCCATCACAAGCCAAGCCATCTAACCAAGCCCAACCTCAATAGGGCAGAGTGGTCATACTAGAGTTAGTGCCTGGAGGGGAAACGTTTGTGGAGCAGAAATCACCTCCATCGTGAGCAGAGGGCTGACATAAGCATCTAGTAGCTATGGTTACCAAGCTGCTGCTGAGGTGTTTCTTGTGAATCATTTCCTGTAAGGTCCTAGCAGCACAAGGAAGACGCTTAGCATGCAACGTTACAGGTGAGCTGACCAGCCACAGTACACAGTACAATAAACATCTGAGGAGGGACCAGATACTTCTGGAACCTTCTAGATGCTCTGAACTCTGGGTCACAGTTACCATGGCAAATAAAGCACTTTTTTTTTTTAGGAGAAAAATAAATGAGTGTCTGAATAACCCAGAAAACAAGAGCCATGTGTTTCTAGGGATACAGATGCTTGCGATTCTGTCTCCTGAGAGGGGTATCTCAGGTACGTAGGTTGGTGTGCATGTAAGCGTGTGTTTGTATATATGTGTGTTAGTGTATATGTCTCTGTGGGTGTTCCAACTTGATACAATGGGTTAGGGCATCCCAAACTGATGTTCTAAAACAGGGTTTTGTTGCTGTGATAAAAACCACAACCAAAATTAACCTTGGGAGGAACGGAAAGGGTTTATTCCACCTTACAGCTTAGAGTCCATCTCTTTTCAATCTCTTTGCCTAGCGGTGCAGTTAGGTGTGGGGAGGCAAGGGCTGTGTGCCCCAGTGTCATTGAAATCCCAGCTCCTTGGTTTTCTGGCCTTTTTTTGGCTATCAGTTTCCCTCTGTGAAAGGAGGATGGGCGTGGTCCTCAAGCGCAGGGAGCGGCTCAGATTCTCTCATTGTTTCCATTGGAGCTGCTACGTCTCAGAGTGCAGTTAAGGCTTTGGAAGTCAGCTGGGCCCCTTCCTTTCCTTCCCCCATCAGTAGTTTTAAAAGCAGTGTCCAGGGATTTACAGTATTAGCACCTGTTGCGAGATATTTTGATTGGATTCTGACAATAGCAGCAGAGGGCGGAGCTAGCCACTAACTGACCAAAATTAACCAGAGGGCTTGGAGGACTGAGAAGAGAAAGGACACAGGAAGTAGTAAGGCGGGACTGAGAGAGGATCTCAGCCATTTCAGACTGAGGAACAGGAGAGAGATGAGGTCACTGGTGGCTTCTGTGATCATTTGGGTTCTCACCCCGATATCTGACTCCTGATTTTTTACAATGAGATAAACACTTCAAGCATCGTGCCGGGATTACTATTAGAGATGAAAATAGAAGCATGAGGGTGATGGAGTTTGGACAAGCAATCAGGTGATGCTAAGCACATCCACGGGTGTCTATGGCATGAATTCTCAGATAGGGTGACGACAGACCCAAGACATAATGTCACCCAAATCCAGCTTGGTGACTCGATGAGTTTATTGTGGACATTTGTTGGACAGGGGTGAGGGTTACTTATAGAAGCGTGACTAGCTTGAGGCAGGTGTATCATCAAAAAGACCCACCCCGTCATGGGTGACAGCCAAGAAAGCTGCATTTTGGGGGCTCTGTACTACTTCAGGCAGCTCCACAGAGGAGCCCCCCCCCCAGCAACAGCTTAGAGCTTGTAAGTCTCCCAACTCATGAAGCAAAATCTCCTTCCAGAAAGGTTCAACCTTGAGGAGACAGCTATGTTACACCAGGGCTCCATGGACCTTAGATTGACAAGGCTGCTGGCTTTTGTATTTATAAACACTTATTTATTGCGGATAAAGGGAGGATTTCTATTCCCATTTGTGAATGGCAGGAGCCACTGTCTGACTGTCTGGGCATACCAGGAAGTTGCAACCTCCTAAGCCAGCAAAAGGGTGGGTGTGGTAGTTTGAATGCAATTGGCTCTCATAAGCTTATAGGAGTGGCACTATTGGGAGGCGTGGCTTTACTGCAATAAGCGTGGCCTTGTTGGGGGAAGTGTGTTACTGTGGGTGAGCTTTGAGGTCTCACATATGCTTAAGCCACGCCCAGTGTAGCACAATTAATAAAAACCCAGAGACAGATATTGGAGCTCAAGATGGAGATCAGAAAAGTAAGGCAGCCAAGCCACTAGAGAGGTCTTGCCTCTACCAAGGTTCAGACAAACAAGGTGGAAATCCTGGCTCTAGGAATCCCCAGATTGAGACTGAGACCTGTTTCCTCCCATTTTATATTCCTCTCTAGTGCTGGGATTAAAGGCATGCACCACCACTGCCTGGCCTCTATGGCAACTAGTGTGGCTGCTGGGATTAAAGGTGTGTGCAACCACTGCCTGGCCTGTGTGGCTGATTGGTGTGGCTGCTTTGCACTGATCTTCAGGCAAGCTTTATTTATTAAAACACAAATAATATACCACTATATTTCGATATTCTAGGCCTGTAGGCAAAAGACAGAAGCTCCAACAATGCAGAGAAACTTTGGGTGACTGTCCAGGCAGTCAGTTGTTTCTGTCATTCTCACGATTTTTGGAAGTTGCTTGCTCGCACGTCTTGCTACTCAGTTAATGGTATTTCCTTCTTGGATCTCTTAGGGAGATGAAGACTAGAGAGTTATAGTTTTCCTTGATTACCAGACGCAGAAAGCAAGTTATGATAGAAAGTAAATTAGGTACAAGACTTTGGACTTGCCAGGACAGGATAGATATGGAGTATTTTCTTTGAATTTGTCAAATGCAAATGGACTAGACTTATTGCTTGTATATATTGTTTATAGTTATTGTGCTTACTGTATATAGTTTTTTCATACTAGTTATAGCCTTCTTTTTTTAGACAAGAGGGGAAAATAGTGATATTTTATTTATGTTTTAAAAAATAAAGTTTGCCTAAAGATCAGAAGGGCAAAGCTAAAACACTAGAGGCAGGCAGTGGGGGCACACACCTTTAATCCCAGGATTTGGGAGACAGAGGCAGAGGGGTCTCTGTGAGTTCAAGGCCACCCTGGGCTACACAAGATCAATGAAGAAACAGATCCAGGTGGTGGTGACTCACACCTTTAATCCCAGCACTAAAGGGAACATAAAATGGAGGAGAGAGAGGCTTAGTCTGCTTAGCCTGTGGTCGCCCAGCCTGGTAGAGGAAAGACTTCTATAGTGTCTTGGCTGCTTTGCTTTTCTGGTTTTCAGGCTGAATCCCAGTTTCTGGGTTTTTATTATTTGTGCTACAGTGCTTGCACACACCTTTAATCTCAGCAGCCACGCTGGTTAGCTATAGAGGCTGGCAGTGGCGGTGCACGCCTTCAATCCCAGTCCTCCAGAGGAATATAAGACGGGAGGAGACAGCTCTCAGTCAGTCTCATTCTGAGGTTCCTGGAGGCAGGATTGCCATTTCACTTTGAGGTAGAGGTAAGAGCCAGTGGCTGTTTTGCTTTTCTGATCTTCAGGTTGAGCCCCAATATCTGTTTCTGGGTTTTTATTAATCATGCTACAGCCCAGTGTCCCAGTTCACTTCCTGTTGCCTGCAAGTCAAGATGTAGGACCCTCAGCTACTTCTCCAGCACCACGTCTGCCTGCATGCCGCCATGTTGATAATGGACTGCACCTCTGTAGGACCCTCGGCTACTTCTCCAGCACCATGTCTGCCTGCAGACAACCACGTCTGCCTGCATGCCACCATGTTGATAATGGACTGAACCTCTGAAACTGCAAACCAACTGAATTAAATGTTTTCCTTTGTAAGAGTCACTGTGGTCATGGTGTCTCTTCATGGCCATAGAAACCCTAACTAAGACAGTGGGGGGAGTAACTATCCATAGTGTCTTACTGAGGCAGGCAAGGGACCCCCTACTAACATATGGGTTCACCTCCAGGGTCTAACCAACTTGGGGTTCTTATCCTCAGCACTGAAAAGTCTGGCCTGGACTGTTCCTTGCTGCAGGTGTCACTGTGTGCCCTACATGACGCTTGGAAGTGTCCTTGCTACATACAAGTAGCAGAACCAGCTGGTTTCCTTAGTCAGTGCTCATGTGGGCTGGGGAGGTGGGTGTATCAGCAAGATACTTGTGCAGGATTGGGGGTCTGAGTTCAGATTCCCCACACCCAAGTAAGAAAAGCAAAAAGCCATTGTTCAGGTGCACATATGTAACATGCAAGCGCACACCTGTAACGTGCGGGCGCACACCTGTAACGTGCGGGCGCACACCTGTAACGTGCGGGCGCACATCTGTAATGTGCAGGTGCACATATGTAACATGCAAGCGCACACCTGTAACGTGCGGGCGCACACCTGTAATGTGCAGGTGCACATCTGTAATCCCAGCACTGAGAAACTGACTTGTTTCAGCTTGGGAGAGAGAACCAACTTGGTCAGACAGCAGTGTAAACTAGAAGGCAGGCAGAGTCACTGCCTCCTAGACTCTTCGAACCAAAACAAACAAATAAATGAAAGAAATCACACATGCAGACAAGTTTCATTAGGTGACTTTTACTGCTCGGTCGTGGTCGTTTCTTTTGACAGTGATTCTTGGCCGAGTGTGTGAGACACGAAGGCATAACCCCGAGAAGCCGTCAGAGATAGTATCCTTTCTGTCCTCATTTTCTTAAACCATCAAAATATTTCATTTATAAAAATTAATCTAAATATAAATATTGACACTAAAGATCAAAATCACTGGATGACAAAATAATTTTCTGGAACTATAGCATGTTTATGGTTTAAATAGTAAATTAAATAAATCTTTGTACTTATTTGGCACAAGGAAACCTTTATAAAAGTACAGATGCCATAGAACAGGCTTTTTCTTCATTATTATTATTTTTTTTTTTGCAAGGCTTACAGAGTACACACTTTTTTTTTTTTCCCAAAAGAAAACTGAGTATCTTAACACTGTTAGCACAAAGGCAGCCTTGTGCCTCCTAAGGAAACGTCCTGTTTGGAAATCAGATCTTTCTGTTGTGTTTCTCAATTTTGTTTCAGTGTGAACCACACCCACAGGATAGAATGCCACAGGTTACCATGTCCATGGAGACCTTTCTCTGGCGTGACACACACAGCCCCAGGAACATTCTGGAAACGTGAGACCCCCCAGCAGCAATGGCACACACAGTGCAAGGGCACTTAAGTCAAGCCTGGGGATGCACAGGACAACACGGAGGTGAAAACAGAGCTGGGCTTTTGGGGGCGGGGGCATTCCAGTTAGAACCAGCTCACATACATAGCTTCAGCAAGTTCAATGGTCTGACCTTTGGTTGTGGATTCTGGAAAACCCATATGCCTACCAGAAAGGGACATTAGACTAAAGTGAGAACATTGTGTCCTCCAGAGCCAGTACCTAATGGTCACCCATCGCCTTGCTCACTGCTTAGCATCCCTCCTTTGCCCCTCCCCCTACTCCATGATTCAGAATATCCCGGAAGCCAACATTAAAAACAGGGTGCAAGCAGCGAGTGAGCCCAGCGGAGTGTAAGTTCCGTCTGTGTGCACAAATACATGTTAGGTACCCGTGCATATAGGCCAGCCTCGCCCCTGAAACAGGCTGTGAACGCGCAGCCTGCATCACCTCTTGCAACCCTCGCAGTTGGCACTAACCTTTCTCTAAGGCAATTTCCTAACCACCTTCCTCGTTGCTGCTGAATCTGAATCTCGCTGAATTCAGTGATGTACATTGGAGAATGGAACACTTTTCTTATGTGGTTCTATTTTGCAATCGTTCATTTACCCAAATCTCATTTCCATGTCAGCCGTGACCAAGCCGTACCGCACTGACTCCGAACGGTGTCCTGAAAGTTAGACTAATAATGATATTCCTTAGGCCCCTCCCCCTGAGTAAATCCATGCAAGAACCCCAAATTCAAAAGGAGACATGGTTTCAAAGACACAAAGGTATGGCCTGGGTGGATCTGAGCTTTTCATTTTGTGGATGCTGGTTACCAAGCAATGGGAAGAACAGGGATGGAGGTGGGGGTGGGGGCTGGGAGCTTAGCTGGAGGTGGCTGAGCATTCCCCAATGAGATTGTTTCTAGTGTCCCCTGCTCTTAGCATCTGTTAGGGGATGATAAGCAAGAGTAATCATGGGTAATAGCCCCTTCCTCCCTTCCTTCCCCGAATCTCCTCCTCTCCAAAAGTTTTCCACTGGATGAACTGTTGATGGGGATGAAGAGATTAAAACACACACAGGGATGGTGAAGACAACACACAGGAGGCAAAGTAGGCAGACACAATGCATCTCTTGAACACAGAGCTCTGCTATTGGAAGCCAGCGTCTGGACATTCGGGTCTCAGATTCCCCTGGGAGCCTAAGGCAGAGAGCGGGCGAGACCTCAGTGTTGCAGACTGAGACAGCCTTCTGGGTGAGGTATCAAGACAGCCCTGTGCAGTAGCGCACTGTGCACCCTGTGCACCCTGTGCAGTAGCGCACTGCGGCCCCCCCGGGCCCTCGCCTCAGTGGAAATCTACACAGTACTCGATGGCTGTTGGGTCAAGGCACTGTCGTGTACGGCCGGAGGCAGTGGGTCACTGGCTGTGGAGTTCCGTGGTTAGTTCATCACAGCCGACTCCAGAACAGGCTCCTGAATGAAGCAAGATGGACACACCGTCACCAGCTATCTGGCACCATGGTCACAGGGGATGGCTGGACACTTTCTTCCTCCCAGGGTTTGCTGAGGGGCTGTTTGCAAACTGACTCTTAGGAAGCTGACTTTCTGTCAAGGACTTAGATATTTCCTGTGATGCACAGTTGGATAGTTAAGCATCTTAACCAACACCTAATGCTCACATTACTCAGTTCTCCAATTGGAGAGGCGACAAGGGAACTCTTAACTCACCAACCATAACCCACCACCAAGACAGGCTCCAAACTCGCCTACTTCAGCCAAATGAAAATATGAAAACACTCTCCTCCGGCTATCTCTGAGCTTGTTTTCTCTCTCTCTCTCTCTCTCTCTCTCTCTCTCCCCCATTTCCACCCTCTCTCTCTTTTGTTTTTTTAGGACACGGTTTCCTCTGTGTAGCCCTGGCTGTCCTGGAAATCACTTTGTAGACCAGGCTGGCCTCAAACTTACAAAGATTCGCCTGCCTCTGCCTCCCAAGTGCTGGGATTAAAGACATGCACCACCACCTCCCTGCTGTCTAAGTACTTCTTGTTTTGAAATCTACTTTGTCTGAAAGTATTTCTGCCCTACTTTAGTTTTTTTGTTTAGTACGTATGCTCTTTTTTCTCTTTTTTTAAAATAAAAGAAGACTATGTGTATCCGTATTTTGTCTGAATGTCTGTCTGTGTACCACATGTGTTCCTACTGGTGGAGGCCAATAGAGGGCATCAGACCTCCTGGAACTGGAGTTACAGAGGGTCGGGAACCACATGGGAGCTGGGATCCAAACTCAGGTCCACTGAAAGAGCAGCCAGAGCACTTAACCCCTGGACCATCTCTCTGGCATTCCTTGCTTTGATTTTTTTCAGCTGTTTCCTGTAATTTTAAGGTGATTGATATACTTATTTACTCATTTTTGAGGTGCTGGGGATCTAATTTAGGGCCCCAGCATGCTGAGCAACATCATCAGTTCTCTAAGATGTCCCTACAAATGACCTACTAAGAAGAATGACACGGGCACACAGCATCCCTCAGAGTGGGAAGGCCTCACCTTCAACCAGCTCTGTGGGGCTGAAGGTGGCAGGGTCCTGTGTTCGAATGCTACTTTTCCAACTGGTGGCGCTGTGGAAGGCTGGATCACGTGGGTCACACTGAGGGCTTATAAACACCTTCCTTTCTGCCTGGCCTTCCTCGCGCCGCTTTCTGACTCTGAATGTGAGCAAACCACCTCAGGCTCCCCCCACCGCGGGCAGGTTGTGTGCCACAGGCACCACTATGCCTTCCCAGACATGAAATGGAGCAAAAGCAAATCCTGGCTCTTTAGTTGCTTCCGGGCAGGTATTTAGTCATGGCGACAGGATAAGCAGCTCTATAGGCCCTTCCAACCTGTGTATGTTCTGCTGCTGTGAAGCTGATTGAATCATCTCATTTATGACCGACTTCTTCCCTGACTCTGCTGACCTGTGTTGAGTGCAATAAGGCTTTAATTCTCTGTCCTGGAACTCACTCTGTAGACCAGGCTGGCCTTGAACTCACAGAGATCCGCCTGCCTCTGCCTGCTGGGTGCTGGAATGAAAGGTTTACATCACTACCACCTGGCTTAATTTTTTAAAGAAAGCTTTTTGAAGTTATGGCCAGTAGCAAGATGACTGAACTTTGGAAGGTCATGGGTTACAGCTGACCTCTGAAGGAAAGGCAATGAGGGCCGAGGTTCCTTGTGGCCATCGAGACAGTAAAATGAGGTTCAAAGGCTAGATCTCATATATGCCATCCTCTGCGGCTTCTGCACTCAGAGTGAACCAGGAGGGTGACGATGAGGAAGAGAGAGGCAGAGGGTGCCCACACAGCAGCAGGTGGGTGTGTGCCTCCAGCCATTCCACACAGGGTCTGCCAGCAGCAAGGCATGGATTATGGACATGCCTGGGTCCAATGAACTGCTCTGTTTTCTGAACTCCTAGCACACACGGTACTGAGAACTGTCTTGAGACAGTGTCTTGCAGGCCTGGTGCTCACTGTGTAGCCCAGGCAGGTGCTGAGTTTGCAGCAATCCTCTCTATCCAGCCTCCTTATGTTGAGATTGTATCTGCAAGCCACCATAACCCAGCCGCAAGTCTTGTTACACACACACACACACACACACACACACACTCAAATGCTTACGTAAGACTGGACTGTAGGCAAACTTGTAAAGTGTTTTTTTAGTTAGAATTGATGGGGGGCCTAGCCCATTGTGGGTAGTACTATGCCCTGGGCCAGTGGTCCTGGGTTTCATAAGAAAGCTGGCTGAGCGCCAATAAGCAGTACTCCATTCATGGGCTCTGCATCAGTTCCTGCCTCCAGGTTCCTGCCTCCAGGTTCCTGCCTCCAGGTTCCTGCCTTTGTTTCCCTCATGGACTGTGACTCAAAATCTGTGAACCACACAGACCCTTTTCTCCCAGGTTGCTTTAGGTCATGGTGTTTCATCACAGCAATAATAGACCTCTGACACTCCATGCGCCATATTTCTCAGCCACACTGCCTTGCTGTGTAACTGTGACTCACCAGAACCTCATCATGAAGCCCTGACTGGCTCCAAACTTGCAGCAATCCTCCTGCCGTAGCCTCCCTAATGATGAGATTACAGACATGAGCCACCCTGCCTAGATGCAAATGTTTTTCTAGCAAATACTCCCTTAGCCCTTCCTGTGTGATCCCAGAGTCTGTGACATTATCCTCTGTCCTGTCCTTTGTCACGTTTGGGGGCAGCTGCTGATTCTACTTAGGAAAAGGCATTTGTGGCTCACAGAAATTTCAGATGCATACGGGCCATCTCAGAGTAAACCCTCTTACACAGCCAGCAGACCCGGCACACTTTCACATCTCTCCCATGTAGCTGGTTCCTGAGAGGAACTAGACAGACAACAGAGATGACAGACTCAGGCTAAAGAGGCCAGCAGTGCCAGACAGGGTGGCACTCACCTCCCCCAAATGACAGAAAGGCTGCCTCTTGGAGCTCTGCTGGGGGCAACTGTGGAAGGAAGGGATGAGGGGACTGTTGTGTGACCTGACGGACCCAGGAAAGGAGGAACCATCACGTGGCGCGATGGGGCCAGAGATGATATTTACCACCAAGTCCTTGGGGTCGCCTTCCCTTTCCGAGGGCCTGCTTGTGGAGGAGCCTTGTAGAAGGAAGTTGCGGTTAAATGTTTTAATGGGGGTCACAGAAGATGCTTCAATTTTTTCAGCTAAAAAGGAAACAAACAATGAGAATTAGGAGCAGGTAGATGGCTCGGTGTGGGAGAGCTGGCTTCATTTCCCCAAGGAGTAGCTCATCACTAGTTAAAGCACCCTGACACTCTGCCCTCACCCTCGCACTTCCTGGTATCTCCTCACAAACATCCTCCCATGCGTCCATGTACCAGGGTTTGCTTCTGGGGGCCCCAAGTCAATACAGGTAAGAACGCTGAAGAGATGGCCCAGTCAGCACGGCTCACTGTGCCTGAGGTTGGATCCCAGCACCCACGTAAAATAGCTTGTGACCCAGGTACTGCAGGAGGCAGAGGCAGGGGCACTGCTGGGGGTTACTGGTCACCAGCCTAGCTCTACACACTCATTTATATGCAAACTCAGACATGCTCACACTAAACAGATCTCAAATTCACATATGTGCACATACAAAACACACATGTACCCTCACGCTCAAACACAGTTACTTATGCGTACACACATTCAAACACGCAAACGTGAACAGTGAACATACATTCAGATGCCCACTCACAAACATAGCCACATCCCCAAACTCAAATTCACACACGCTCATAAACACACTCTTAAACACATGCACACACTCAAAACACGCAGAAATGCATTCACACTGACATACTTTCTCAGCCTCCTACTCAAACAGGCAGGGACTCCACCATTGACACACTCACACGGTACTCCTGCACACACACCAACAATTCACACTTATGCACACGCTGTTGCACACCAAGTCCGTCCCCACACACATACCACACACGCATACACCCGACTCACACCCAGATACCTCCACACTCAAGTGGCCAACGCTAACACACTCTACTCTCTTATACAGTTACTCACACAACTCACGCTCACAAAGACACACTCAGAAAAATAAGCACACACTAAGACTCTCACGTACTAACACACTCCTTCACCCTCACACATACACACACACGTTCAGAATGCATGCGTGCATACACTCACACACGCCAACACTCTCGTCTGTGCATGTGCGCCTGTATCCCCAGCAGGCTACACACACACTTCATACCCACTCACACCCCATACACACTTTCACACATACACTAAGATAATCACACACACAGAGACACAATCACACACATTCTCTCTCCATACGCACATTTCCACACACTCGTACTCCCATACAAAGACACACATGTGCTCACACACTTCATATACTCTCCCATGGACACAACAACACACACACATCCACACTCATCTATAACACACACAACAACACACACATCTACACTCATCTATAACCTCACACTCGTGTACATACCCACACTCAGCTGCACACTGAGCCCCACACCCTCACGTGTACATCCACATTCAGCCACAGACCTTCACATTCATACACGCACACACACACACACACACACACACACACATATCACCCTCATACACATACTCACAAACACACGCTCACCTCCTCATACTCTCGGACACACATGGTTGCTCACATGGGCACACTGACACACACCATCACTCTCACACCCACTTATGCTCACTTATACACACCCATCCTCATGCACACCTATCACACACTCACAAGCAAGGCAGATTAGAACACTCCTTGGGGGGAGGGCACACTGGGTCACACACGGAAGGCTCTGAGCTCTTCCAGGGACTCAAGTGTGTTTTTTAAGTGCAACTTACGTTTCACAGGCGGAGCGGGCAGTTTCCTCCTCTGCTGCCTCGATGTGTCTATAGTTTGTACCTACAAACAAGCGCAGCCTTCAGTAAAGCGCCGCAGAGACAGCATCCAGAATGCTCCAGACCATGAACCTAAGGGAGGAGGGAAGGACAGACGCACCTGGCTCCTTTGCTTCTGATCCCGGCGTCTAGTGAGACGCACGCAGGGTGCTATGTTCAAGCCAGCGATGGTCAGGGCTGAAATCCGGCTCTCGATGTCAGAAATCTTCACGCAGCGGGAAGATACACAAAGGAAGAAAGACTCCTGGTTAAGGCGTTATGAACTCACAAAGAACGAGCCTTCTTTGATGAAAGCTCACTCACACATTCAATTTTGTTTTTCTTTTTGAGAAAAAGTCTCCCGCATCCCAGGCTAGCCTGGAACTTTCTATGTAGTTGAGGATGACCTCCTGCCTCCACCTCCTTCCTAAGAGCTCCTCCTTCCTAAGTGCTGGAGGGACAGGTGTGGGCCACAACACCTGGTCTTTTCAGTCATTCAGCTTCTACCAATCATTTGATCTATCTAGAGCTGTAAGGAAAAGACGAAACACAAGAAATGTATAAATTCAAGTTTCCAATTCTACAGCTCTGGAGCATGTCAACAGCCCTATTGGAGTAGGCACAGGGAGAAATCGAAGGCCTGGAGCACTGTGGGAATGCTGGCCTGGAACCACCTAGGTCTCAGTGACCAGGGCATCCTCTAGGGCTAGGATAAGGGTTTAACTTGTTCTGCAGAGGTACTGGAACCTTGGTCCTCAGGAAGGCCTGCTGAGGTAATTAAAAACTTGAAAAAGTGAGACCTCCGTGGTGTAGCAGTGGCGTGAGTGTTTTGGGAGTAACTAGCTGCTTTCTGATTGGACTTAAGGCCTGCTCCACGGGATGGAACTCAGGCCTAGTTCTGTAAGCCCGGACAAATACCAGTGGCTAGGGAGGTCATGGGCCCCAGGGCAGAACTCAATATTATTTTGCTAAATGGACGTGGCTCCGAACTGACTTCTAAATACTCATCTTTACAGCCATAGTTTAACACAGCTTCCATATCCCATTGAAGAAGCTTCTCTTTGCGCGGTCAGTGGCTAATAGGCTGACCACACCCTCGCTCAGGACTCCGCCCACACCCTCGCTCAGGACTCCGCCCACACCCTCGCTCAGGGACACCGCCCACACCCTCGCTCAGGACTCCGCCCACACCCTCGCTCAGGACTCCGCCCACACCCTCGCTCAGGACTCCGCCCACACCCTCGCTCAGGACTCCGCCCACACCCTCGCTCAGGACACCGCCCACACCCTCGCTCAGGACTCCGCCCACACCCTCGCTCAGGGACACCGCCCACACCCTCGCTCAGGACTCCGCCCACACCCTCGCTCAGGACTCCGCCCACACCCTCGCTCAGGACTCCGCCCACACCCTCGCTCAGGACTCCGCCCACACCCTCGCTCAGGACTCCGCCCACACCCTCGCTCAGGGACTCCGCCCACACCCTCGCTCAGGACTCCGCCCACACCCTCGCTCAGGACTCCGCCCACACCCTCGCTCAGGACTCCGCCCACACCCTCGCTCAGGACTCCGCCCACACCCTCGCTCAGGACTCCGTCCACACCCTCGCTCAGGACTCCGCCCACACCCTCGCTCAGGACTCCGTCCACACCCTCGCTCAGGACTCCCTCCACACCCTCGCTCAGGACTCCCTCCACACCCTCGCTCAGGGACATCGCCCACACCCTCGCTCAGGGACACTGCCCACACCTTCGCTCAGGACTCCGCCCACACCTTCGCTCAGGGACACCGCCCACACCCTCGCTCAGGGACTCCGCCCACACCCTCGCTCAGGACTCCGCCCACACCCTCGCTCAGGACTCCGCCCACACCCTCACTCCAGACACTGCCCACACCCTCGCTCAGGGACATTGGGGAAGAGGGGGTGAAAGGAGTTTTAGAGAGATCTCCGGCTTGCTTGTTTTATGAGACAGCATCTCTCACTGACTTGGAACAAGACAATTTAGCCAGCAAGCCTCAGGGATCCGCCTGTCTCTACCTCCTTTGAGGCAGTGGGATTACAAGAACATTCCACCATGCAGGGCATTTCCTTCATATTTTTTAAAATGTGGGATCTGGGGATGGGAACCGGGCTCTCATGTTTGCCGGGCAAGTACTTTACCAATTGTGCTATGCCGTCTCCTCAGACCTGGCTGGGATGTAGTGTTACGATGTAAGGACAAAACCAGGTGGTGCTGGTGACGCCTTAATTCTAGCACTTGGGAGGCAGAGGCAGGCAGATCTCTGAGTTCAAGGCCAGCCTGGCCTACAGAGTTTCAGGACAGCCAGGGCTGCATAGAGAAACCCTGTCTCGACAAACAAACAAAAAATACAGCAGTGATGCCAGGGATTTGTATTGAACTCCTGTTTCTCTCCTCTTAAAAATTATTTATGTATTTATAAAGTGTACCTGGGACACACATGCCATGGCACTTGTGTAAGTCCGAGGACAGCCTGGTGGAATTGTTTCTCTGGAGAGACTCGGGTTTCCAGGCTTGTGTGTTTAGTGCCCTTCTCTGCTGAGCCATGTGACTGCTTCTTAGTCTAGAGAAACATATGGACCTCCCACCTTTTTCTTTACTTATGTATCTTGAGCCAGCATCGTATGTAGCCCAGGCTAGTCCTAAAGTTGCTCTGCAAACAAGGATGACTTTGAACTCCCAATCTTAATCCTCCTCAATGCTGGCATTACCACCTTGCCTAGTAGTGGCTCCTATAGTACAGTTTATGGGCAGTGGACTGATCGTGGGTCCTTTATAAAGGAAATAAAATGGTATGCGTTTCTGAGAGAGTGATCACAGATCCCAGTTAGAGTCAGTGCTAAGAAGCATTTTCAGAATGCAGGGGACGAGCTCTCAGTGGAGACTGCTGTGTCTAAGATCCCGTCCTCAGGCATGGCCTGGGAGGTGTGCACCACCTGTTCATTCCTTTATGTAGCCCCTCAAAAAGATTTCTTCGTTCACATATACATATGTACGTACTTTGTGTGGGTCTGTACACGTGCACAGGTGCCCACAAACTTTAGAAGAGGGAACCGAATCCCCTGGAGCTGGCGTTCCAGGCAGTTGTGAGCATCTGACGTGGGTATTGGGACCAGAACTCAGATCCTCTGCAAGAGCAGCAGTGTTCTTAGCTGCCAAACCCTCTCTCTAGCTCTGCCTCTGTTAGGTCAGGAGTCACTTCCTGTAGGCCAGACAGCTGTGACCTGGCTCTCATGTGACTGTGAGTCCCTGCTGGGGAACCATCAGGGAGCAGCCCACAGTAGGAAAGGGGTGGCCTTGGGATGAAATGGGAGGAGAGCAGCAGAAAGTGTGCATGAGTGTGTGTGTGTGTGTGTGTGTGCATGTGTGTGTGTGTGTGTGTGCGTGTGTGTGTGCAAGTTTGTTCACTCACACACATGCACACATACACGTGGATGCCAGGGGTGGACATTGCTCTCCACCTTATATTTTCAGAGAGTATCTCACTGAGCACAGAACTTGTGGATCTGACTAGATTGGCCAGCCAGCAAACCTCAAGGATGCTCACACCTCTGTCTCCCCAGCACTGAGATTACAGGTACCTGTCACCTTGCCTGGCTTTCTGTGTGGGGGTTGGGATCATAAGCCCTCAGGTTTTTGTGGCAAGCACTTTCTGGGTGAACCATCTCCTCAGCCATCAGCGTAAGTCTTTTTTTTTTTTTTAGATTTATTTATTTATTATGTATGCAATGGTCTGCCTGCATGTATGCCTGCAGACAGAAGTTGGCCCCAGATCTTATTACCGGTGGTTGTGAGCCACATATGGTTGCTGGGAATTGAACTCAGGACCTCTGGAAGAGCAGTCAATGCTCTTAACCACTGAGCCATCTCTCCAGCCCCCAGCGTAAGTCTTAAAGGAAATCTAAGATCGATAATATAGATTGAGGCTCTGCTACGGGAGGAAGGAGAAACCTTTCTATTTTAGGAAAAGGGTGGGGGGCTGCAGAGGTGGAGCACTGACTAAGAGCACTTGCTGCTCCTGCAGAGGGCCTGGGCTTTGCTTCCCAGCACCCACATGGTGGTTCACAGTCACCCATAATTGCAGTTCCCAGGGATCCAATGACTTCTCCTGACCAAGCATGCACATGGCGCACACACATACATGCAGGAAAAATACACACAAAGTTAAAGACAGAAAAGGTTTGCTAGAGTCCTTTGCTATAAGCAGACGCCTCTATGCTCGCCCGCAGGAGCTGATGGCAGGCATCATGACTCTGAAATGTGTCTACAAGGTGGGAGCGAGGAGGGGCTCACCTGGAGCTCAGCATGGTGTACCTGTGCAGCAGCTGCAGCCACCTGGTCCTCCAGATCCGCTAGCTCCATCTCACCCGTGCTGCTGTGGATGCAGCGGGCAGCATCCTCCAGCTCGCTCAGCTGTCCCTCCAGCCCATACACGGTGCCCGCTGCCAGGTACACCTGCAGAGACAGCGTAGTTCTGAGCCCAGAGGACTGGGGATGGCAGAGATGGGATCTCCCCCGTATCAATGCTCTTCACCCTTAGATGAGGGCAGGAAGCCTTTGACATCTCCCCTCTCCTCCGAGCACAGGGAAAGTTGGTTTAGAAAATGGAACAGCAGTCTCAGTGTGAACTGTGAACTGTGAATCTGTCCAGGGACTTACAACAGGGAATGTCAAGTGGAAATAAACTCAGTATGGGAACATTTTGGAATTATTTACGTGAAACAGACAAACATGACTGGAAATTGGCAGTGTTGGTGACAATGATGACATGCCCGGGATCACTCATTTTACTAGGAACAAGAGGAAGGCATGATGGGGAAACTATCAACCAATCACATCTAATTAGGGTGTGGCTACCTGGGGTAGAAATCCAGGTGCACCACTCTCTCTCTTGTGCGGCACCTGCCGGACCTGTTGGATTTCCAACCTCCCACTCTTCTAGCGTGAATTTCCCCTTTTCAACTACTAAAATATAACTGTTGTTCTTGATCTAGTCTGGTTATTTATTGTACCGACCTAACTCGTCAACAAAGGCACACCTTCACCCAAGGGCTTATCTATCCCCAAACTGCAATTTATCTTTTCGACTCCATTATCTGCTAATGTTATGTTTTAAAAAGCTGTTTTTATCACAGCCAAGACAAAGCAATAGGAAATAGATCTGAGCCCTCAGTCTGGTTGGAGTGGCCATGTTTTTACTTTGTCTTTTCTGAAAATCTGCTTTCTGGGCACTGGGGGGAAGGGAGCACAGAGGTTTGCTACTGAGCACAGTTGAATCAGATCTTACCACCAAAGTGATGGGGCTTGAGGGGCTGGAGGAGGGCCATGGTAGTGGTAATGTGTTTACCGGGCCAGGAACTAAGGCAAGAGATTCATGACTTATTTTTTAAAATTCCATTTATTTGTTTGTGGGTTTGGGTATGTGTTAGACGGATGGTGTGTGTGTGTGTGTGTGTGTGTGTGTGTGTGTGTGGTGTGTGTGGTGTGTGTGTGGTGTGTGCTTGTGCCAGAGGACAGCCTGCAGGAGTCAGTTCTCTCCTTCCACCACGTGAGTCCTGGGGATTGAACTCAGGTCATCAGACTTGGTGGCCTCTTCACCCACTGAGTCATCCCTCTTCACCCGCTGAGTCATCCCTCTTCACCCGCTGAGTCATCCCTCTTCACCCGCTGAGTCATCCCTCTTCACCCGCTGAGTCATCCCTCTTCACCCGCTGAGTCATCCCTCTTCACCCGCTGAGTCATCCCTCTTCACCCGCTGAGTCATCTTGTTGGACCATGACTTAACTCTTTGAATGTCCAGGTGACTCTAAAGATGGATACCATTATAAGCACCATGCTAAATATGAGAATGTTTCATGTCTTCCCTGGTCTCACAGCTGGGATGAGGAGGAGCCTGGATGTGAACTGGGGAAGGCTGGTGCAGTTCCTACGCCTTTCCTGTCTCTGCTCTGTGGCGTTGTGAATCTTAATCTCTGTTGGGATATTATCAAGTCCCACACTTCAGCACTCGGATCCGGGGTCTGGCTGTCATACATGGCTTGGGCAGTGGCTCAGTTTCAGGTTCGCTATAACAGAAGTCAGCATGTCCCTCCACAAAGGGTTTTCTACCTTGATAAAACGCAGCCCTCTTGAAAGCCACCTGAACCACCTGCTTAAAGAGGTCCCACACTGGGAGAGAACAGTGGCTACTTTATCTGCGTCCTCTTCAAACTGGTCACTGATACCTGTGACATTCCTTCCCCTGCAGGCTGCTATTCAGTGAGTCTTCCTCAGAAAGCTTCAGGAGGTGGGAACAGGTGCTCATCAAGGATGGGCTCTGATCAAATTCCCAGGAGAAAGAATACTATGTAGATTTCTTTATTGCAAGATTCTGGGAATAGTGTGAATATGAGTGTGTGTGTGTGTGTGTGTGTGTGTGTGTGTGTGTGTGTGAGAGAGAGAGAGAGAGAGAGAGAGAATGTGTGTGTGTGAGAGAGAGAGAGAGAGACAGAGAGAGAGAGACAGAGAGAGAGAGAGAGACAGAGAGAGAATGTGTGTGTGTGGACATGTGTGTTTCTGTGTTTCATAGGGGGGTCAGAGAACAATCTTGCTGTCATTCCTGTTTCCTTCTTGGTTTTTGGGACAGTGTCACTCATTACTCATTGGCCAGTAAATCCCAGACATATTTGCTTCTGCCTGCCCAGTACTGGGGATTGAACTCAGGTCCTGACATTTGCAAGGCAAGCACTTACGATGGGCCAGCTTACTCCATTTTAAGATTAGAAGCCATCTTGTTACAAGGTCAAAATAAGTTCATTTCTATTTTCTCTCTCGACCCATCTTCTGGAATGTAACATGCTGTACACCCCGTGGAATTCGACTCAATCCTTGACTATATCCTGACCTTCACTCTGATATGATAAGATGCTTTGTCAAGTAATATTGAGGTGTTCAGCCAAGTTCCTACATAACGAAAATTCCTCTGAAAAATCCCCCAACCTTGGGAACCCCCTAGGCTTGCAGTTTGGGGCTATAAAAACCCCACTCCTTCTATGTTTGGGGCTGACAGATTAAATGCTAAAATTAGGGGGAGGCAGTCACCAGACTGGCTTTATTGTACATATATAATAAGGCTTGATATAAATTTAGTTAATTTGGGTGGTGGTCTTTACTCTCAGTCCATGGGATGAACACTTACCCCACTGAGCTATCGCCTAGACCTACCATCGCCTCAGCCCCACTGTCACCCCAATATCACCCCAGCCCCACCGTCGCCCCACCCCACCATCACCCTGACATCACCATCACCCCAATATCACCCCAGCCCCACCGTCGCCCTATCCCCACCATTGCCCAGGCCTCACTTCTAGGTGTCTCTTATGTATAAATTTCAATTTTCACAGAAAGAACAGAATGCCCAAATGCATTGGTACCCCATAGCACCTTGCTGGGCTCGGCTTCTATAAAATATACCTCAGAGGACCAGTAGATGGCAGTATGTTTTTTCTTGTTCATGAAGCGCAGTTACCTAAGTAACCACAGCCACTGCCATGAGTTTGGGGGCCACCTCCTCTCCAGAGCTTTGGAGTGGCAAGAAAATGGGTGGGACCGATGTCCTCTGCTCTGTCCTGCATTCAGTGTCAGAGTTGGGCATCCCTAGTGTTCCTGCTACCACTGGCTGTAAAGTACATGGACAAGAAGAACTGAGACTAAAAGGAAATTGGGATAGATAGGGGTGTGTGTGTGTGTGTGTGTGTGTGTGTGTGTATGTGTGTGTCTGTCTATCTCTCCGTGTTTCTGTGTGCATGTGTGTCTCTGTGTGTGTGTGGTGCATGTGTGTATCTGTGTGTGTGTGCTGGAATCATAAGTTAGCACAAGTTGCCACTGTCTCACAGAAATGCAGATGAGCCAGGTCCTCAGACGGGCGTGGGAGGGGACAGAGCTGACTCAGCTGTTCCACACACTCCATGGGTAAAATCATGAGGTGGCTCACCCTATTGCTCCCAGGACAGGACCGATGGCTGTGCTAGCTGCTCCCTGCTGATCCTTTCGGGTCCATGTCTAGCCTTCATGATTTTACCCATGGAGTGGTCTAGACTTTAGGGGAGACACGAGCAGAGCCCGTAGAGCTAATGCAGCAGGGGTCATAGAACTCTACATCTCCCTGGCTCTCCTCCAACAGGACGAGTGAACACACCATCGATGAAAGCAGGCGACTGGACACTGAGTGATGTTTCTGTGCTCTATCTTGTGGGTTCTCTGCAGCCTTAGGTGCATCTCCAAGGGTGAATATTAAAAATGGAACGTTCTCTTTTATCTGAGAGTCCTGGGCACCATGGCAAAGGTGAGGAACAAAACGCACTTTTTTGTAGTGCAGACCAAGAAAAGTCACGATTTAATAAACCAGCTGCAGTCAGGGGCCAGAGCCAACGCTGCCATCTCCTGCTGCACGGCTGACCACCATCCTGGGGACTGCAGGGCAGAACCCCTTTCCCACCTGCCTGTGATCTGCTGGATTAGAGAGATGGGAGAAGATTCTTTCCCACTCTTACTTCACATCTTAGAGAACTCAAAGGAGCAAGGGAACCCTCTCTCCTGAAGAGAACAGTGAAAAGCTGGAAGGGTGGAGTTGAGGGGGGAGGCAGGCAGTTAATTCTGGGGAATGGACAGAGCTGGGCTGAAGGAGGGAGCAGCTGACTGCAGACCCAGCCTGGAAACCACACATATATCTACACTGGAGCATCTGACATCCTGCATCAGTGCATACATGGATGTGTCTTGAATTAAAAATACTAATGAGCCCTCCCCATCCCAACAAAATAACAACTTAATCCATTCTATGCCGTGGAAACGCACATGGGCCATGGAGTTTTCAATACGGTTTTAGAAGAAAGAAAGGTGTGTTGTCTTTGTTCTAAATACAATGAGAGAAAACTGACTATTGTCAGTGTGTGTGCGCGTGTGTGCGTGTGTACATGTACATGTGTGTGCATGTGTGTATATATATGTGTGTATATGTGTGTATGTATGTGTGCCTGAGTGTGTGTGTACATGCTCATTCAAGAGAGCAGCCTGGGGTGTTACTTCTCAGGTATCATATGCCTTGTATTCTGAAACAGGCTCTCTGGTCTGGAACCTACCCAGTGGGGCTTACTGACGAGCAAGCCCCAGGTGCCCGCCTGTCTCTGCCTCACCAGCACCGGTTACATCATGCACACGTCTGGTTCTCCTATGTGAATTCTGGGTATCGAACTCAGGTCTTCATGCTTGTGTAGTAGACATGCTACCCACAGAGATACCCCCAGCCCAGAACTGAGGCTCTCTCACAGCTACCCCCATCCCAGAAGTGGAAGTTCTTTATCTGGATCCACTGGTCACTTTTTTGTTTGTGATCAGTTTTCCACGTACTTGCCTCAACAAAGATTCTTGGTGGCCCAAACCTTAGTGCCGGCTCAGCACCATCTCCCAGACTCACCTGTGAAGCTTCTAGACCAAGTGTTATCTAAAGAATTTTGCCCATCACTTTGGCCGGAACCCACCCCTGCTAGAAGATCGCACCTATCTCATTAGGGTTCTTACTTTCCACCTGTTCCCAAATGATGCTTGCACCACCCTGGCCTGTCTTTGACGGGAATCTGGTAAGGTTTGCTTGATCACCCCAAGTTTCCTATCTCCTCACCCCTGTTACAGAACATTTGTTTAACTATGCGAAGATGTGTTGCGTTTGTTTGACTATGTAAAGATGTGTTGCTGCTTTTACCTTGCCTGCCTAAGGCACCTGATTGGTCTAATAAAAAGCTGAATGGCCAATAGTGAGAGAGGAGGTATAGGTGGGACTTCTGGACAGGGAGGGAAAGTAGGAAGAGAAAAAGAGACGTCAGGGGCCAGGCCAGACACAGAAAACGCAGGAAAGTAGAACATACACAATGAAAGAAACATTAAAAGCCCCAAGGCGAAATGTATATGAAGAGAAACAGGTCAAATGAAGTTAAAGAGCTAGTGGGGAAAGTCTAAGCTAAGACTGAACATTCATAATCAATAATTAGTCTCTGTGTCTTTATTTGGGAGTTGGTTGGTGGCTCCCCGCCCCAGCACACGACCCTGTTGCCACGGTCCCTACCTATCCCAATGCCCTGAAGAAAGCCTCACTGTACTCAAGCACCTACCACCGAATGTTTTTTTCTTTTTCCACTTCTGTGTCTTTGTGTGTGCACGTTTGCGTGTGTGTGTGAATGAACGTGTAGGTGGAAGTCCAAGGCTGATGTCAGCAATTGTCCCTCCATCTTTCTTCTGCCTTGTTCACTGAGGCAGGGTCTCTTAACCAAACCCAGAATTTGTCAAGATAGCTAACAGTGCTGGCCAGCTTACTCTGGGGACCCCCCCATCTCTGCCTTCTGAATTACAGGCCGGGATTATGTGTATGCCACTATGTCTACCTAGCATTTTTGTGGATTTCTGGGAATCTAAACTCCTCACACTTGTGTGACAAACACTTTAGCCACTGAGCCAGCTGCCCAGCCTCTAATTCTTTTCTTTAGCTCCTCCCAATCTCCAAGGCCTCGCTAGGCACTGACTCCCTTTGAAGACGCAGAAGGACGGAAGCATTGAGCATTGGCTGGCTGTAGAGAAGTCTGGGTCCTGGGTGCAGCTTCCTCCTGGGAGCTTTCTGCAGCATCAGGCTGAAGCTGCTCTGAGGTCAAAGTCACGCTTAGCTTCTTGCCTCTTCCCTTCCCTACACTACCCCTGCACCATCTTCCCTGAGGAGAGGAGGAAGTCCATAACCACACTGAACTAGCGTCTCACCAGGTCTCCTAACTCCTCACACAGAAGCCACCCTTGGGGTCATGCTGCAGAGGCTGTCTCCCTACTAAAGCCATTGCTAACAACTCAAGGCACACATGGCTTCCTCTTCAGCTCTGCTCCCCATCGCTCTTTCTCACAGTTGTGTACTTGGTTCCTGATTTCCTCCTCACTTCCAGGAAGTCCTGCCTCAGCCTTTCCCCAAGGGCACACTAGGCAGGAGGGGATGGTTCACGCCCTCGCACATCTGAGAGAAGCTACTATTCTCCCTCCTTCACGTGTGCACACCCCTCACCAGACACATTCACACCCTCTTACGTTTTCTTCCAAGGAAGTCAGCTGCTTGTCCAGTCTCACTTGGTCTGTCCCAAGAGGAAACATCCCCATGTCTCTGTCAGTTGGGACTGGGGGGATCTCAAAGGGCCCTGCAGACTCTGCGATCAGCTCCTCAGTAGCGTTGATGACCTTCAGGACTTCTGTGGAGATGTTGCAGAGAGAAACAGCAGAACACTTCTGTTTGGTTCAATAACAGAAGGGGACAGAAGACAAGAACAGCACATTAACAAGGACACAGAAATCCTACTTTATCTTGGCACCCATCATGAGGTCAAGTCTGTGATAATACACATACATGCTCACACGTGTGCATACGTGCGTGCACATGAATGTGCACACAGACACACAGACACACACACACCTGCTGAAAGGGTAAGATGTTAAGGAACTGAGAAGACATAGCTCAGTGGTTAAGAGTCCTGGTGGCTCTTACAGGGGACCAGAGCTCAATGTCCAGCACCCACATGGTGGCTCACAACCATCTGTAAAATTTCAGGGGACCCAATGCCCTCTTCTGACTTCTCTGGGCACAGGTGAAACATTCACACACATTAAATAGAATGAATCTAAAAAATTAAAAAACCCTACACAGCACCAGGGAGCCCAGAGGAGTGCTGGCCTGACTTGGCTTTGATTTGGTCACTCACGACGAAGACTCTGGGCTGACAGGGATGGCCGAGGAAGCAGAGCTCAAGGGGAAGCTATCTGTGTCTTGTCTTTAGGATCAATGACTTTATTTCCTAGATGATCTTATTTTCTCAATATCACTTTATTCAACCACGTGAAATAGCATCTACGGTGTGGACCTGAGGGTGGCTTTCTGTATGAAGAGTTAGGAGACCTGGTGAGACTCTAGTTTTGTCTATTATGGGTCCTTAGCCAGGCCATTCCGCAGGTCTAGAATTTTCTGTAGTCATCCATACAATGAGAATACTGACAAAAAACCTCTTCTGAGGCTCGGTAGGTGCTGTGTGTCAGCTCACACATCAACCTCAAGCCGGTCTCCAGTGTTCTCCCTTTCAGAGTAGACAGGAAGCAACGTTCCCTAGCTTCCCTTGCAGCTAGGGGGTGACACATCACTGAGTCTGAGGAGGAAGCCAACTGCTGTGGGGTAATCCTCTGGTACACTGTAAAGATTTGTCACTCAAATTGGTTTAATAAAATGTTAATTGGCCAGTAGCCAGGCAGGAAGTATAGGCGGGGCGACCAAATAAGGATGATGGGAAGAAGTCAGGAGTCACCAGGAGGAGGAGGAGATGAACGAGCCATGCTAATAAAGGTACTGCCACGTGACAAAGCGTAAATAGAAATAGGGATTAATTTAAGTGTAAGAGTTAGCTAGTAACAAGCCTGAGCATTTATAAATAATATTAAGTTGAGCATTTATAAATAATATTAAGCCTCCAATTTAGTTATTTGGGAAGTGGCTGTGGGCTCCTCAGACCAGGGAGGCAGGCCCCACAGACGCTTAAGGTCACTGGAATAACAGTCAGAATAAAAATGGCGACAAATGTGTACCAAAACCCAACCTTTTAGCAACCAAAGAAATAGAATGGCATAGAAATGAAACCATGAGAGCATTATGGGACCAGCATAACTCATGATTCCCCTGAGGGATGTAAACGGAATCCCAGCATGCCTTAGCTTAGGTGAGGCTGGTGATCACATGGCTGACTCACCATGAGATGTGTCTGATCAGAGGCACACACTCCAATGTCACCTGAGAGCCCCCAGGACCAATGATGTCACCTCTGAGAGCCCCCAGGACTGATGATGTCACCTCTGAGAGCCCAAGTGTTTGCTCCTATGATCCAGACTACATTGCAACCCCACAGAAATATCAAACCCACCATGTGTGGCACACAACTCATGTGGCAGAGAAGCTCACACACAGGATGCAGAGGGCACCTGCAGGGAGAGCCCTCAGCAGAACCACAGTGGCACAGGGACAGGAGGACCGGAGGCTTTGAGGCCTCTCGCTTTGTGGACACAATGCTTTCCGACTCACCCATGGCTGACAGCGAGGCTGATCTGTGATAGCCACATAGTGAGACCTCAGAGATGGGTCAGGTAATGAACATCTGTCCTACACGTGTAAAGGTCCAAGTTCTTAAAAAAAAAGCCAGGTGTGGAGATGTGTATCTGTAACCCTTTCTAGGGAGGTAGAGACAGGCAGATCCTCGGGGCTCTCTGGCCAGCCAGTCCAGCCTAATGGGCAAGCCCCAGGCCTAGCTAGGATCTGAAAACACAGACACACACATGAGAGAGAGAGAGAGACAGAGACAAAGGTATGCAGAGAGAGAGAGAGAAAGAAACTGAGCATATAGCAACCTGAAGAGAAACAGTTTTGTTCTTGGGATCAGATATTTCTATGTATTAGCAATCTTTGCAGATAAAGACCTTGCTAACATCATTTCATAGAGAAAGAGGAAAGAACAGCTTGTTTCCAAAGAGGGAGCACCTGAGACAGAATTCAGAACACTCTAGTAGACACGTAGGGAGCATCTGAGACAGAATTCAGAACACTCTAGTAGACACGTAGGGAGCACCTGAGACAGAATTCAGAACACTCTAGTAGACGCGATGCATCCAGCCTTCAGCCGTCAACTTACATGGCTGGTATTTTCATCGCGCCCTTAAAGATGAAGGTGCAGAAGGAATGTGAGCCTAGAAACCTTGGTCCCCAAGGCCTGTGTCCTTCCCACCATCCCACCACTCCGGCATCCATGGGTAGAGGTCCCTGGACCCAGTGTTTGCAGAAAGTGATGCTGAAATACGGTCTCGGGGGCAGGGTTGGAGAGACAGCTCATCTCTCATCAGTTAGGAACACTCACTGCTGAGCACCAGCCCCTGACTGGTGCTTCCTAACTGCCTGTAACACCTGCGGGATCCAACACCCTCTTCTGGCCTCCATGGTCACCAGCACATATATGGTGTGCTTACATACACGTAGTCACTCACACACATAAAAACTAACTCAAAAAATCCCGAGGGGCAATCAGGTCAGTGAGTAAAAGGGTCTTTAGGAAGGGCACCCTGTCATTCTTCTACCTCCACCAACAAGTGTCACTCAGCGTGTTGCCAAGGCCAGGGTGAGACCGAGTCACACAACACGGCTGACAGCTATCCAGGGATGCACTCCTGGCCTGAGCCCACCAGGGCAGCACGGCACACACTCACCACAGTGAGGGAGAATGCACACCACAGCAGAACCTAGACCCACAGTCTGCCTGCCATTTTCTGTCCCGAATTACAGATGCTGTCTTGGTTTCATGAAAAGTTTTTAATTAACAGAGCAACAAGCAAGGAAACAAGTCCCCAAATGCCTGAATTTCATGGCTTTGTCTCCTTTTCAAAGGTAAGAAAAACACCTCATATGTCCCCGCAAATTGCTAAGAGAATGTGTGTTTCGGTTCTCATGAACATAAGGCCCTTGGCAGTACCTCCAAAAACCCATCAAAATACATCCCCCACTGACTCACAACTCTGAAGAGACTCATGAAAGACGGAGGTACAGAACTGTGCGAGGAAGTTGGGACCTGATCTTAATAAATTAGCGTATGTAATAAGCAGATACAACCACACATACCAGATATCAGAGGAGAGCCGGCCTCTAGGAAGGACTGAGGGGTGTGTGCAGGTATGCGTGTGTGTGTGTGTGTGTGTGTGTGTGTGTGCACGTGAGTGCAGGTGCCATGGAGTCCACAGGAGGGCATCAGATCCCTTGGAGCTTGAATCATAGGCAGCTGTGAGCTACCAAATGTGTGTGCTGGGAACAAACTCAGGTCTTTGCAGGAGCAGCACACATGCACTCTGGACCGCTGAGCCCCTCTCCAGCTCCCAGTTTGCCCAATTTGCTCTTTTTACAGGGTCCCTACCGCCCTGAAACTGAGAGGTAGGCTCCGCTGGCTGGCCAGTGACCTCAGAGATCTGTTGTCTCCACCTCCCCAGGGGTGGGGTGGCAAGCATGTGTTGCCATGCCTGGCTTTTTATGTGGGTCTTAGGGATTGAATTTGGATCCCTATGTCCTCTGGGTGGGTCCAGTGTTGCTTGATTTATGACACCCCTTGAAGGCACATCAGGACATGGTCAGAGTGATGGGGGCAACCATTGCTGGGCTGTTATCCTTGACCCAGCCATCTTGAGCGGGCAGGAACTTCTTCCCTGGTCCAGGAGTTGACTGTGGCCACTGATCTGTCTGACATGTGTGACGGCTGCTCTCTGTCACCCATGATTAAAACTGATTGTTAAGGTTTCTGCATGACTCACAGTAGCCATACCACCACCAAGGTATGTGTCAGAAGCCCAGGGAGGCTTATTCAGTGCTTAAGGAAGTAGCCAGGGCAGCCTGAACGACCTTGTTACTTATGAGCCTGGCCCTTCCTGGGTATCTTTGCCTTGTTCTGCCTCCTTCCAGGCTCAGTTCAACCCACTTGGCCAGAGGTTCCAGCTGTCCAGTACCGTCCTCTGGCCTTCCTCTCTGCCCTTCCTCCTCTTGATTCTATAGCTTTTTCATGGAAACATACCCACGGCTTCTTGGGTATCCAAGCGCCCCCTGAACAGAGAATGAGTTCACCTACTAGGAAGCAGCCTCTTTCAGTCACACTGCACTTCAGCTCCTAGATCACCCTAGTGATCATTTGCTGACCACTTAAGTGGGGACCGAAGCCCCAACTTTGGGCCCCAACTCCTCACAGGAAGAATTTGCTATCTCCATCTTGTTCCTCCCTGTGCTTGCTGCTGGGGTCTGCAAAGTGGGGTACCTGTTCATTCTTTTACCAGAGTCTGAGTGCATTCTCCTTCTATGTCCCCTACACCCTCCTAAATGAGTGAACAGTAGTTCCCATTACCAATTACCTAAAAACAAAAACACCAAAAAACATAACAACAACAATATGCTATGACTCTTAGGTCAGCGAAATGACTCAGCAGGTAGAGAGATTTGCTGTTAAATCTGATGACCTGTGTTTGTTCCTTGACTCACAGAGAGAGAGAGCTGACCCCTGCAAGTCTATCTGCACATGTATGTCACAGCACACACATGCACACACTGCATGTTAAAAAGGTTCACAGCCTCTTTTTCCCAGTTAGGGGTGGGGAATGAGTGGGAATCATGAAAGAAAATGAGTTACATTGAATATATTTTAGGTTCTACTTCTCACGAGTTTAGTTACTGT